ATGACAACAGATATGGGCTCCGTTTTTAAACATTTAAAGTTTTTAGACTCTAATCACAAAATGAGAAGTTTTTACTCTAAACCAAGGAACTATATATAAACAGGAATTCCCAACTCAGATATACGCAAATTGTGTACTGTACTCTGTGGGAGGAAGGAAGCCTAAGTTGACCCGGCACGACATGCTATGTTTTTATGATAGGTTTTTAGAGTGCCATCTCACGGCCACTTGTTGAATATAATACCCATTCAGGGGTTAAATTTTACAACTTTTTAAGAAATACTCCAATTTTAAACATAAAAACATAACATTTTTGAATACAGTCTTTTTGAAGATTTTGTGTTTCGTATCCAAAGGATCCTTAAATATCCCTGAATACAGATGTTTGCTGATTGGTCGTGTATAGTACAATTGTACACAATAGAACATGCTGTGGAAAATATGGCATATTTTAGCTGATAATCAATCTCTGTAACTCTCTTATCTCCGTTATCGACCTTACATTCGTGCGCAAGCTTCGTTGCGATACCTTATTGACTATATCTTACTCATAAACTATGTTACAGTAACTATATCCTTTCTTTTGTATTGCACAGTTGTTCTGAAATGAACTGTACTGCACTGTACTGCATTGTCGTACTGTTGTACTGTTTAGTGCACACTGCACAGTGCATTGTTGTAACCAACTATTGTATCCACTACCCAACCCTACCTTTAATTATCAAATGTTTCTTTTTAATTAAACTAATAATTTAGAGCTCTTTGGATGCAGAAGATAAAAGAGGATGAAAATCAATCTAAAAGAGATCTCAATGATATTAATGAGCTAGCCAGGTCACAAAGTATATACAGTATGCACCAAATGCTGCCACACTAGGTGGCAGCAGAGAAATGAACAAATCATACATGACGTCACAAGTGTCAAATATAAAAATGAAAACAACATTTTCTCTTATTAGTTTCCAAGATTAAATAAAAAAGTGTTAAAAAAACTGGAAATAAAGCACATCAAATTGCACTTATTTCACTGTAAGATATGTTCTTAATTATCAATATTATCAATAATTGTGTCTGCCATTATTAGGTGTTTTTGTTAGGTATTTTTCAAAATGATTTTTCCCAAGTGGCAACTTCCTAAGGGTATTATCCAAAGTGGTAACTCTCCAAATGTGCAATTTCCCAGGCGGCAAGTTCCCAAGTCTGTCCCAGCTGCAGCGCTCGGCCCCCAGCCTGTTCTAGACCGCAGCGCTCGGCCCACTATCCCATACTAGCCGCAGCAATCGGCCCCATTGCAGCCTATGGCGCCCCAAAGGACCTAACTTAACCTTTGGGAAGTTGCCAATTGGGAAATTGTCACTTAAGAAGTCGCCCTTGGGAAAATGCCTTTGGGGAAGTACCTAACACCCTTCTATTGTACTTGATAATCTATACCTCCAGTGAAAGAAATTGTTTTGATGAAAGGACAATTTTTCTCAGATAAAGGTTTTAAGGGTACCGTAGTGAATCGGTAATGTTCTTTATGGTTCAACTGTTAAAAAAAAACCGCGATCTAGGAACAATAAGACACGCCGCATGCGAAATTTTTATTTACTTAAAAAAACCAAAACCATAAAGAGTCAAAATTAATGACTACAGACTAAAAAACTAGATTTTTAACTTGTTTGTTTGTTTGTATCCAATAAACGTCAAAACGGCTGAACCGATCAGGCCCAAATTTTTTGAGGGACCTCACGTGACCCCAGGGAAGGTTTATGAATGATCAAAATTTTAAAAATTTGTGTTTGAAAGTTTTTTATTTTTGAAAAATTTTGAAAATGCGCAAAAAATTATTATCAAATCCGCAAACTTTTTTGTTTTTGTTTTATACTGTACAAAGAGAAGATGTTCAGAGATAAAGCCACAATTAAAAGTTGAAATAGAAGATGGGTGCGAAGCGCCCTAAAAGCCTAGTCATATAGATTGAAAGAAGTATCGTACTTGAGAAAAGGAACAAAGCCAACAGGTCAGCTAAAGAAATGCAATTTAGGATTAGGAAAACTATTTTTTTCGTCGTACTGATGATTCAATTATTTAATAAATATCTTTTGATATTATAATTTCATTAAATAATCAAATAACTTGAAAAAGGGATACAAATATAATTGATCAAAATGGAAACATTTATTACTGAATCTTTCAGGGGGTGCAAAAGAACTGCTGACCCCCCTGTGTCCGCCTTTGTCCAAGCATAGGCAATTATATGAATGGAGTGAAACCTTAAAGAAAATATATTAAAATGTATTTAAAAGTTTGTATTAAACATACACGGAATCAAATAGTCATGTTCCGGTGGAATTGCTTTTATTAATGTTATGATTTTAAAATCACTGCCCCCCCCCCTCTA